ATATATATATATATATATATATATATATATATATATATTGCCAGTCCTAGGGCTTGAACTTAGGGCCTGGGCATTGTCCCTGAGTTTTTTTTTGCTCAAGGCTAGCACTCTACCATTTGAACCACAGTACCTCTTCGGGCTTTTTCTGTTTATGTGGTACTGAGGAATCAAACCTAGGGTTTCATGCATGCTAGGCACACACTCTATCACTAAGCCACATTCCCAGCCCTATCTTTTAGCTTTTTCAGTTGAGGCTAGATAGCACTGTACCACTTGAGACATACCTTCGCTTGCAGCTTTTTGGTGGTTAATTGAAAGTAAGAGTCTCATAGACTGCCCAGGCTGGCTTGGAGTCACAATCCTCAGATCTCAGTCTCCTGAGTATTATTAGTATTCCAGGTATAAGTCACTAGTATGTGGCCATTAAAAAATGGCCTTTCCACTGATACAGCATCTCAGTATAGTTTTGATTTGAACTTCTCTGATGGATAAAGGTGTTGAACATTTTTGTGTATTGGGTTTTTCTTTTGATATGGTGCCTTGTTATATTGATGATGCTGATTTTTAACAATCCTTGCAAAAATTAATTTTTGAAAGCTTAGAAAATATGGCTGCTGAGAAAAATTTAATTTTCCTTTAGTTTGAACTATATAATGTTAATAAGAACTTTTAAAATACATATGCTATGAGTCAGGTACTGGAAAAATCATAAATTACTTTCTAATAATTCCTTGTGTATTGATGAGGAAGCAAAGGCTCAAAACTAAAAATGATGCCAAGAATTTGACAGAGGCAGGATTCAGCTATAGATATGCATAGAAAGAAGCTCAGATTCCTTGCATTACAATAACATCGCATATAAGCCAATGTTGTACATGCATCAGGCTGAATACGTATTTTATTTTACTCTCACAATGGTCTCCTAAGGTAAGCATGATTGTTACCCACATTTTGCAGATAAAATACTTGAGGCTCAGTGAGTTTCTATTACTCTGAAAGGTTAAATTTAATAGGTAGAAGACTTGGAGTTTTGAATCAAGGCCTATCACTGTGCTGTGTTGCCTTCCTCAAGTTTAAATACAGTTTTCCCTCAACCTGTAGAGATCCAACCTGTAGAAATACAGAGGAAGAACATTGCCAACTACAGTCAAATTAAGATCATCCACAGTAAATTGGAGGAATACTTAATGTCAGTTTTGTTTAAAGACATATTGTGCTTCTTAAGCTTTAGTTATACTTGATGTTGACCTGGTGGGATTCTATCAATCAATATTATTTGCCTATTAAACTTATCGTTTGCTTTCATAGAAATTCAAGTTTAAAATGTGGCAAACCCAAGAAAGCTGTGCATGGTTCGATGTACTTTGAGACCTTCCAGGTGTTCGAATGAGGAATGACAGATTGGTCTTAGCTTTCCACTGAAATATTTAGCCAGAGCAGTATCTGAGTTTGTGCCTTTCCTTTTTGGGATCTGACAGAAGAAGGAGTAGACAGGATGTCTACTTAGTTGCTATTCTACAAAACATTACTTTTATGCCTCTGGGCAATTTCTCAAGCTGTTCCCTCCAATTAGAAATTTTTATTCTTTCTTCACTGTCTGTCCAAATCCTTTAAGTCCTCAAAGATCTTAGCCTTCATTTTCTCTGGAAAAACTCCACAGACCCTTTCCTCTGTACAAACACCCACTGACTCACAGAATGAGTGATTGTGATATGCCCACTTTTCAATATCTCTATTCTAAAATATTATATTATTTATAGAGCTATGTTGTTTTATAATGTTTGATTTTTATTAGCATATGGTAATAATGCAAATTAATGTGTTTGTTATGTGATTTCTATATGGGTATATGATGTTCTTAAGTCATTTTCACTTCTATTACCCTTTCTCATTCTTCCTCCTCCACTTTTATCCCTTTCATATCCCTAATACTCCCCCTCTTATCTTCATGCCTTTTTTCTCCATTAAATTTCACACATTATACTTGCCTTTCGGAGTCTGAATATTTCTCTAAACATTATGATCCATTTCCCTGAGAACAACATAATTGCATTCTTCTTTATGGCTAAATAAAATTCCACTGTGTTTATATGTCATCTTTTCTTTATTCATTTGTTGATGGGCATTGAGGTTAGTATATAGCACACAGTCTTCATCTTCTGGTATGTGGTATATGCACATGCATGTGCACATTCTAGCCCATTAGTTATTTGAAAGCAAGGGCCATATATTTTGATTGTTTTCTCAACTTGCTATGCCTAGCCCAGTGTCTAGCACAAACATATGTCTAACCAGTTTCTAAGAGAACTGGAATTTCTCATAAATGTGTCTGGAGTAATTTTCTAATACACAAATCAGTGAGTAAACTTTCTGGGATAGTGGGAGAGCAGGGGCCACATCTATTTCACTTCTCAACAGCACCTCCAGCATTTAACCTGATGTCTGGCGTATTGTAAATTGCTAAACCAACATGAGAGACCATTATTCTCACAAAACTGACAGAGAGACATAGTATACACTCTCACCTGT